TAATCCTTACCATATTTTTGAATGTGGGTATTACAGTTTAGGTGCATCCGTTTATCACATATGGAGGGAAAGGAATAATAGGGTTTTTGGTAGGGATTGTTAAGACGCCATGACCATGTTCAAATTGATTAAGAATGTGGAGCGGGAAAGAGCTTCGGAGTTTTCTAATGTGAAGAAATCCCCTTGTAATGTTTGGCTTGCACAAGATTTGGGTCTTCCTTGGTCCATCTTCAAATAGGTGTTGGTTTGTTGTGGTGGTGTGTGGGTGTTCTTTGGCCTTTTGTTGTTTGCTGAAGGCTTGACGTTTTGAGTCTTGTTTGGTGTTAGGCTAGTCTTGTGGTGGTGTTTTGTACGTTCTAGGGTCACTCCTTGTGTTCTCTCTTGTCTCCTATCTTGTTTAATTGGATAAGATAGACAAACAAGAGGTGGTATTGGTTTTTGTGTAGTTTATTTTGTTGTCGTTTTCTTTGGCAGCCTCGTTTGAGGTGGGCTTTCCTTGTTGGTTCGTGGTTAGTTGCTTTGTATAGCAATTAGATAGTAGTCTTAGAGATTACTTGATTCTTTTTGTGCCTAACCTAGGGCTTGTCCTATAGTAGGTTGCCCCTTTTTTTGCATGGCCTTTGTAAATTCATTCCCTTTTCAATGAATCTTTACTGACCCAAAAAAAGATAATGTTCTAGTTAGATCAAGGGCGACTCTGATGCTCATTGGTGCAAAGGATTTTGGTATCTAAGAAGGGCGACCCCAAAGTAGGAAATTTGTTTCTCAACACTAGGTCTGTGTCGTGGCATGCTGTTTTCCCAATATTGTAGCCATTCTTTTCTTCTTTCTGTAATTTATAAAGGATAAAAAAAAAAAAAAAAAAAAGTTATCAAAAGAGAGTTTGTGATCACAATGAGAAAATTCAGGAAAGATCTTTTCCTAATTTCAAGAACCAGCAGTGTTATATAAATAAGTGTTAGATTTAAAATTAGAGTNCCCTTGTAATGTTTGGCTTGCACAAGATTTGGGTCTTCCTTGGTCCATCTTCAAATAGGTGTTGGTTTGTTGTGGTGGTGTGTGGGTGTTCTTTGGCCTTTTGTTGTTTGCTGAAGGCTTGACGTTTTGAGTCTTGTTTGGTGTTGGGCTAGTCTTGTGGTGGTGTTTTGTGCTTTCTAGGGTCACTCCTTGTGTTCTCTCTTGTCTCCTATCTTGTTTAATTGGATAAGATAGACAAACAAGAGGTGGTATTGGTTTTTGTGTAGTTTATTTTGTTGTCGTTTTCTTCGGCAGCCTCGTTTGAGGTGGGCTTTCCTTGTTGGTTCGTGGTTAGTTGCTTTGTATAGCAATTAGATAGTAGTCTTAGAGATTACTTGATTCTTTTTGTGCCTAACCTAGGGCTTGTCCTATAGTAGGTTGCCCCTTTTTTTGCATGGCCTTTGTAAATTCATTCCCTTTTCAATGAATCTTTACTGACCCAAAAAAAGATAATGTTCTAGTTAGATCAAGGGCGACTCTGATGCTCATTGGTGCAAAGGATTTTGGTATCTAAGAAGGGCGACCCCAAAGTAAGAAATTTGTTTCTCAACACTAGGTCTGTGTCGTGGCATGCTGTTTTCCCAATATTGTAGCCATTCTTTTCTTCTTTCTGTAATTTATAAAGGATAAAAAAAAAAAAAAAAAAAAGTTATCAAAAGAGAGTTTGTGATCACAATGAGAAAATTCAGGAAAGATCTTTTCCTAATTTCAAGAACTAGCAGTGGTATATAAATAAGTGTTAGATTTAAAATTAGAGTAAACGACATGCTTCCACGTGAGGTTTGGCGAAATAGTCAGTTTTTACCTGATTTCATAAATTTTAGATTCTCACCTATATATTAATCAGCAATGCTACAGACACCGGTGTTTTTACACCGAAATTTTGTACCGGCTGACGTGTGTGCTGACTCAACCATCCAAATCATCCCACGTGTTTTGGCGTTATTGAATTTGATCTAATGAACGGCCGTCCATAACATATGGACGGCCGTTCACTCATATGGACCCTCGTCCATATTATATGGACGGGGTCCATTTACTATGGACGGGCGTCCTGATTTAGAGGACACCCGTCCATTGCTAAATAAAAATAAAAAATATTAAAAAAATTAGGGACGGCCGTTCACAGGTCATGAACGGCCGTCCATAAACATTGGACGGACGTTCATATGTTAATGGACGCCCGTCCTTTAATTTTGGACGGTTTTTAAAATATAAAAAATTAAAAAAAATCTGGGACGCTCGTCCGTATAGAATGGACGCCCGTCCATAATTTTGTTTAAAAATTTTTAAAAAAATATTTGGATGGTCGTCCCATTCCTTAGGGACGCCCGTCCACTCCTTAGGGACGGGCGTCCCTAATGAATGGGACCACCGTCCCACCTCTAATTAAAATAAAAAAAAGAAATTAAAAAGTTTTAGGTTTATTTAAAACTTTTAAAATAAAAAATTAGAATTAAAAATTAGGTTTATTTACATATCCATCGAAAAATGCATGCATACTTTCACTATGTTGGGTAGTAGACATACCTGCCCAGAATGTATCTTTAAGAAATGCAGGCACCCAACGTACTCTTTCTTTATACAATCCAGATAACCATTCATTCTCATGAAGGTTATACACATCAATGAAGTTTTGATATTTACTTTTGTTTCAAGGTTATCTCTGTAGGACGAGATATTGATGCTGGTGCTTGGACGAGATATTGCTGCTGGTGCTTGGCTGTTGAGGAAGTAACCGGCGTCAAGGAATCACAACACGCAAGAACGAGAAGCTAAGAAAACCAAATGGCGCAGATGAAGAACAGAAGATAAACAAATGACGGCGACGAAGGAAAAGAGAAGAAAAAAATTTGGCGCTTAAATGAAGCGTATTAGGCAAGCCATTCGTTATTATTAATTAAAAAAAAAAAATTTAACAAATATGGATGCCAGTCCATGTATTTTGGACGGCCGTCCTAGTAGATGGACTGGCGTCCATGTAGTTTGGACGGTCGTCCCTAGTAGATGGACGCCAGTCCATATACTAGGGACGGCCGTCCATCATTTAGGGACGGCCGTCCCTAAAATGTGGACGGCCGTCCTGATAATTTGGACGGCCGTGCTCATAGAGATGGACGGCCGTCCTTCTAAGGGGGACGGCCGTCCAAATTAGCAGGACGACCGTTCATCATTTAGGGACGGCCAACCTATATAGGGGGACGGCCGTCCAAATTAGCAGGACGGCCGTCCATCTCTATGGACGCCCGTCCAACATATTATATGGAATGGACGCCCGTCCTGATAATTTGGACGGCCGTCCCCCTTATGTCTGTTTTCAATCGGTCCAACGTGGCGGCTTCCACGTGTTTCGGTGCAATTTTTCGGTGAAACTTTTCGGTGGGTATAGCATTTTTGATATATTAACACCGTTTTGTTTCTTTTAAAGTTGAGGGTTAGAATGGTCATTTACTATATTTTAATATTTTCATTTAAAAAAATCTTCAGATAAAATAATTATAAAATATAAAAATCATAACTCATTTTTTTTTCTTTCTTCGATCATTCCTCCTCTCTTTCATTTTTCTTTCTCTGTCACTTCTTCTACAACTTTACTGTCTCCCCTTCTCTTTACTTCAGCTCTTTCTTCTCATCCCTTTCTTTTCTTTTCAATTTTCTTCTTTACTTCTTCCTCAATTCTTCGTCTCTTGCTTCTTCACTTTTCCTCCTCTTTTCTTAGCCTTTTTCTTTTTCTCATTCTTTTGCCCTTTCTTCTCACTTCCTCTTATTCCCTATTTTCTCCTCCCCTTCTATTTTCTTTACTTGATGGCCAAAGAAGGCCTTGGCCGCTACAATCTGGCTGAGCGATGGCTAAATTGGGCTGACCAGATTAGATCCGACTATTTAATCTGGTTGTTTAAGTTTAACGCTTCCTGCCAAGTTTCTTTCTCTTTCAAAAAAAAAAAAAAAAAAAGGGGGAAGCTTTTGGATGGGAGATGTGGAAAGTAAAAGAAATTCAAAGCTTAAGTGAAATAAGTTTTTAAAATTTCATAAATCAACCTTAATTTTTTTTTTTTCTGCGTTAGCACTGAATCCATGTTGCTTTCCTATTAATTAAAAAATTTTAAATCATCTCCTTGGATATTTGCTTATTTGGACAAACATTTGGGGATAACAAATGAAAATGAGAAAGTTGCCAGAAGTTTATTGATTTTATAGTAGGTTTTATGTTATGCTTGTGATATTTTTGGTAACAATGATGGAGGTTGTCAGAAGTTTGGTTGCGATAATTTTTTATGAGGCTGTGAGAAGTTTGGTTGCGATGATTTTTAGTGAGAATGGTGGAGATTGCAATCAAAATCAACTATATATATTTTTTTTCATTTAGGCTGAAATCGCACCGATTTGATGCGACCTCATGAAAAAAGAAGAAGGTGGGAGGGTAGTTTGATAATAGCGGAGGAGCAGAAGAAAAAGAAGATGAGAGGACAGTTTGATAATAACATATTTTGTATTTGTGTTAGAATTCAACTGTCATTATCAATGTTAATTTAAAGATGAAAATCTAGAATTTATTTAGAATTTTGCTAACCTTAGGTGAGCACATGTTGTTTACTCTTAAAATTATGATAAGTTGATAACCAATTACTTCTTAATTCGAATTTGCCAAAAACATCTCATATAGATGCCATGCTTTGTTGTACATCCGTCGAAACTCATTTTCGTAAAAAATATAAATAAAATAAACCAAACTGGATTTAGTCTAAAAAGAAAATTAATGAGCCGAGATTCGCGGTTAGCCTTGGGGAAGTAGGGAGCGAAAGAGAAGGAGAAGTTGACTTTATCAAGTTGTGAAGATGGCCACGCAAGCCCCTCACTATACGGAGTGTTGTACTACTTTCTAACAAACGTCATGCATATGTTTTGTGTACCTCATCCGTACCAGCCTTACATTCATTTATTATTTATATATTTATTCTGCTCTAAACCTAATTTAACACCACATCTTTCTTTCCGTTTCTCTCTTGTGCTAATTACTTGGTTTTCTCTTTTACTTTTTTTTGTAAAGATGATGTATGAACAGCAACATCTCCAAATGAGAGTGGATGCCAAGAAAACAGCTGCAGAGAGAAGAAGGTCCATTGAAGAAGAAAGGCTTGAGATTATTGATTTGAGTGGGATGTCTTTGGATTCTCTCCCTAACCCTTCTCTCAATCTGGCAACTATTTGCAAACTAGACCTCTCCAATAACAATCTTCAGGTATATATCTATATATATAAAGGTATTGCTTTGTAGTTTTCTATTATTTATTTTTTTTGGTAAATTATTTTGTTATATATTATCAATATACAACAAAATAATAATTTACTTGAATATTTATAGTTAGTCAAATACTTAATTCTCTTTCTCTCATTATGGTACAAGATTTATTTTAGCATGGATTTTGAGAGTTTTTTTTTTTGTTATTAGTATGCCTGATGAAGTACTCAAAGTTATAACATGTCAAATAGCAAACAGATTAAGCGTAATTTCTTCACTTAATTTTGGGTTATAAGAATCCATTCAAGCCAGCTTCATCTGCACTATTTTAATTTCTTGTTCAGACTAAAATTTTTCTGTTTTTCTTCTGGTGCAGTTTATCTAAATAATTGACACATTCAAGAAGCTTTACAAATATTTTTTTTCTTTTCACAAACGCAGGCAAAAAATAAAAATTGTTTGATTAATTCTGAATATATATTTTTTTTTTTTAAAGAAAAAGATTGCTTTTATGATAAGCTAAGTGCCACCAAAAACAGTAGGAAAGGCTTTTAGTGGTATGATATGCTTTTGCAGAGATATCTTGTGTTCACAAGAATTTGAATATAGCCTTCAACTCGATATAATGGGAAAATAAAAGGAATTTGAACGCTGACAGAAAGTCTAAAAAATATAGATATATATGACTTTGTTTCATTGGTTTTTAAAATTTTATTGTAAAATTAATACAAAACAGGTCATCAGCTGACACAGATATATATGTATTGCAGTCGGCTTTGACTTTTTGCAATATATATTATATAACGTCTTGTGAATCTGTGATAAGAACTCACTGTTTCTATTCAAATTTTACTTGTACCTTTCCTTTGCTTTCATCCACAATTACACTTTGGTGATAAGGATATTTTATTGACCATCAAGTTCCGTGCATTATATTCTGCTTCCTTGTGGAATTAGTAGTTAATTTAAATGATTTGTTATCCTACATAGTATTGTGTCGCTTATTTATTATTATAAGATAGAACATTAACATTGAATTTCTCCACACCAATGAAGAAAATTAAGATAAAAAAAGGAATTTATTTTTAACATTTCAGTTTTCCACAAAAGATAATTTATCCATGTGCTATTGTTTAAACTTGACAGAATATTCCAGAGTCCTTAACCGCAAGGTTGCTAAATGTGGTGGTGTTTGACGTGCACTCTAATCAGCTAAAATCCCTACCCAACTCCATTGGATGTCTGTCCAAGCTCAAGGTTCTAAATGTTTCTGGCAATTTTCTTGAATCTCTCCCTAAATCTATTGATAATTGCAGGTTTGTTTTCTCCTTATCTTCCAAATCCTTTTGTATACAAATTCAATCCCATATGAAAGAATTCTCCATAGAATAACCTAATTACTTAACACTTTCTTTATTATATATTGGATTGGAACCAGAAATACTGACACTGACGCATATATAATAGTCGTAGGCACGATAATTGAGATCTTTGACTCTAGTAGAACATCAACGGACGGTGAGGGGCAATTTATCTAAAATTCAAAAGTGTAATAAAATTTTCACAAAACTTGCAACAACGTAACCAGCATAGAATAATGAACGGAGGTCAAATCAATTTAACAAAAAAATAAAAAAATAAATAAAATTGATTCAGCCAATTGGCCTTTGGCACCTCAAAGCGACATTAAACGAATACATATATAAGTTAAGCAATATAATAATGAATGGATGTGAACATGTTTTAACGGAAGTTGCGCTCCTACTTTAATTCTCTACCTCTATTTCGTTAGTGTATAAGTTATTCACATTGAAAAATGATATTATTTATAAAAATAGCTTTGGAATGAAGAATCGCGCATGGAATCGAGGGATGGTTGAGCAAGCATATGAAAAGTAATTTTTTTTGTTAGAAAAATATCAATATGAAAAGTAATTCTTTTGTTTTTTTTTTAAAAAAAAAAAAAAAAGCTAATACACCTTAAGACATTGAAAATACATAACAAAAGAGGATCATACTAACAAAATCATTAACACACTTCTGATAATTGAGGTACTTGAGTAACTTTTGTTTTGTACTTTCACTTTCGTAGGGATAAATTTTCCCCTTATTAAATTAGCAAGATTAAGGTTTTTTTGGTATTGTGCAGGTCACTGGAAGAATTGAATGCCAACTTTAATAAGCTGCGAGTGCTACCGGAAAGCATTGGATTTGAACTGTTGAACCTGAAAAAGCTCTCAATCAACTCGAATAAATTGGTTTTCCTTCCACAATCCACTACTCACCTGACATCTCTACGCATATTAGACGCACGTCTTAACTGCCTCAGGTCTCTTCCCGAAGACCTGGAGAATTTAATCAATCTTGAAGTTCTGAACGTGAGCCAAAATTTCCAATACCTTGACAACCTACCTTATTCAGTTGGCCTTCTCCTGTCGCTTGTGGAATTGGACGTGAGTTATAACAAGATTACAGTTTTGCCTGATTCCATTGGATGCCTCAAGAAGCTCCAGAAGCTTTGTGTAGAAGGAAACCCTCTTGTTTCGCCTCCAATGGAGGTGGTTGAACAAAGTTTACACGCAGTTAAGGAGTACTTGAGTGAGAAGATGAATGCAGAACACAAAACTCCATCTAAGAAGAAATCATGGGTTGGGAAGTTGGTGAAATATGGAACCTTCAATGGTCACATGAGAAGTAATAATATCTCCAACCGTGAGGAGAGTGAGGGTTTCATTATACCTGAATATCGCTCCATTGATGGCCTTGCTTCACCAAGGTATATGGGAATGTTCTCACCCCGCCGTCTCTTCTCTCCTCGCAATTATTTTACTAGGTGACTTGTGATGCATAAATTATTTGTGTAAGTTTAATTAATGTGTGTTGGTTTTATTTTTACATCCTTTTTCTTCATATGTGTATAGGTAATACACATGATAGAGGTTTTTGCAGTTAGTTTGTAAAAGATTACTCATCATCAACATTGTTTTATGTACCATATTTCTTCGGAGTGCAAGATTTTTAAAATATATATAAGTCCATCTATTTAATTTCTAGATAGAATGTACTTTAATTTTATGTTTTCCCAGTATTTGTTCTCTCTTTATAATGTGTTTGAGAGCTGCAGTGTCATTGAAGTTACTACTTTTTTTTTAATTAGAAAGTGTGATGGAAAATTATTAGAAAGCCAAATGGTTCGAAAGATTGTATTGAGAAGATTTAAAAACCTTTTATGTTGTATAAATAAAGATAAAGAGAAGTATAAAAAGAATGGAAGAATTTTGAGAGGCACATTTTGTGATTTTCATTCAGATTTCGTGTGTGCAACATTACAAGAGGGAGTATAACGCCTCAAGATACTGTATGGCGCCAACGATATCAAAGACAAAATTAACTCTCTTGCTAAATTCAAGAAGCAAATTTGTAATAGTAAAAATAAATTTGCTATATCGAAAGTAATTTCGCAATAGTGAAAATGTGTTTGTTGTAGCAAAAGTAGGGTATCATGCACCTTAGCAATAACAAGAAGAAATTTACTGTAACAAAAATGCATATAATGATTTCCATTATAGATATGGTAAAACAATAAAGGAAACAAATTAAACAATATATTGAAATTTTTTGGAAAGATCTTTAGAAAGGTATATCCCGTACTGCTTGGGAGCATTTCAGTGAAGGTTTTGAAGCACTACATAAAGAGTTTAGTTGTGTGTTTTGAAAGTGAGACTTTAGAGTACTAGAGTATACAAAGAAGTACCAAGACACAACAACACACATAGTTAGTGAGAAAGCTTTGAAAAAGCTTTGTTTATGAGGTTATGCTTGTGTGAGTGCTGAAGGTTGATTTTGGCCTAAGCGTTGTGAGCACATAGACAAAATGAAACCTAAGAGGTTCTTTGTTAAAGTTTCTATCGTATAAAGAAGTCTTCTTAGAGCTTCCGAAAAGTTGTGTTTTGTGAGTTGTGTGCTTGTGAGTGTGGTAAGACTTAACTTCTAAATAAGTACTAGATTTCAAACGTTGTTGGTGTTAGTTTATTGAATCATTTGTAACGTATCGGAATTTTAAAATTTTCAATTCATAAAACAAAACCTCCTGATACTTATATCGATTTGCATTGTTTTAAACATGAAACAACTAGTAAAAGTATTTATTCGATTTCATACTAGCATTTGGAGGTTCCTTCACTTGATTTTTGTAGATTTGCTTTCACTCCAAGAAAAAAAAAAGCACTAATGGTATCCATGCAAAGACAAGACAAATTTCGAATCAATTTATTTGCTAGAATAATCAATTAGTTTTAAGAATAAAGAAGTGCAGAATTTTCAAAGAGAAAATTCACTCTCCCAAGGGTGAACACGTTTTTGATAGAAAGGGTGACTAGGGTTTTTGAATATCATAAAAGTAATATATGCTTTATTTTAAGTTGCACTTTTATAATGCAACAAATAAAACTCTATTCCATAATTGGAATAGCACTAATCCCATTCCTTTATTAGAATAGAATTAACCACACAACCAAACAAGGTAAATATGGTATTTTAATTAATATTATTATTAGCCCTAAATATTAATATATTCTAAATATATATTAATATTAAATAATAATATTACATTTAAATAGATAAACACATATATTTAAATAAATATGTAATTTCACTAATTTTAATTTCCATATGAAACCAAATACAGACAACAACCTCAACAAATTTAATTGCACTGTGAGATTACCAAATATCTTTTTATCTTAAAAGACGAAAAAACCCCTCTCACTTATTAATTCTTAAACTGTCTTCTATGTGTGTGACTCATATGCTCCTCATCATATTGACAATGAGTAGTATCACGATTAACACTCAATTAATTGTCTCACTAAACACAGACCAATATTGGCCTTTAGTAAGGCATCATAACCACTTGATAGATTCAGATTCAACAATACAACTTCCTATCAACGGTATGGTTGTCGTGCAATCTAATCATTTCATCATCTATTATCTCATCAAGGTTTGAAGTACGAAAATAATGTCAACTAGTTGCAACAAAAATGGGCTACAGTAACACTGGACAATAGCACTTTTCCTTAAAGTACTTCAAATCAATTACCTTGATATGTTCTTATTTGGTCACCAAACCAATGACTAAATAAAATTGGACTTGAGCACTAATTCAATTTCACTGTGGCCACAGTTTTGCAGTCATTGTCATTTACCAAATTACTGAGCAAGATAAATTCTCCTGTACCTAGGTTTGATGAATCCTATGTTGATCCACCATATCCATGGTGTACTTCTCAATGTAGCCAACCACTACTGTACTGATAATTCTTAATAGGATTACGTTAGGTTAGTGTCAAACTACACCAATATTTACACACGGTGCTCTAGTGATCTCAAGTCTAAGGATCACATGCATCACCATCCGTAAGAGAATATATTCCATAGACACTGGGTTTACCATCTATATGGAATCCTTTGATGGGTTAGTCTAGTGAACTTGGCAAATACAAACACCTATGCATTGCACCAAGTTGTCACCAAACAACTTTGATATGCGAGATCTATCACTATCTTTCGGTAGGATCGTCCAATGCTATGATAGCCTTACTGTATTACCTGTGCCCTCGTTCAGAATAATACTAAGGCTACAGACGGTTCTAAAGTGACCATTATATGTGATCATAGGGTCCTCACAATCAGGATTTAAAACACTTGATACTCTTATCATGATTCTAGCACTCTAAGGGCATATATCAATATATTAAATAATATAAGAACAATGATATAGAGAATTTTCCTTTGTTAATATTAACATGTGTTTTACAAGAGTCAATAGCTACAATCGGATAGGCTCTAAGGCATCTATGTTGAGTGTTGGAAATGCGGATTTATTTAGTGATTTGGGGTGAAACTGTAAGGAATTTAAGGTTTAATGCATGATTTATAATGTGATTTCATGCATGTTTCGTTATCTTTCGGAATCACGGGTGTTGTGTGTTTTTTTAAGTGTTCAGGTGCAAAAAGATTGATTATTCGCGTTTCTGTTGGTGTTCGGACATCCTAGACCCATTTAAGTGCGGATAAATTAAGGCATGAAGAAAAAGAGTAAATTGCAAATCGCATTATAGCATGATTTCTTGCACGTGGCACAAATCGGCGATATCAAAATTGCGCCCTCGCGAAGAAATATGGCACCGCAACACAATGTCAACGAAATCCAAATGGCACTACAGCACAATTAAACTATGCCATGGTGTGATATGGTTTTTGTCGAAAAAGATATCACCTGGAAAGGCACCGCAGGGCAAGTCAACCGTGTCGTGGCACAAATCGCGCAAAATGTAAAAATGTCACATTTCCAACCCTAATTTCAGCGACTAATATTTGCAAGTTTTCCATTTTGTCTAAAAACTATATAAAGGTAGCTTTAGTCTGTTTTTAGGAAGTTTTAAGGTTTTACAAACATATTTGGGATTGGAATACATTTTGGGCTCTTGGAAAGGTGGAGCTTAAAGAGGAGAGAAGAGGAGGTTCTTTTCCTCCCCTCCTCCTTTGTTCTTCAGATTATGGTTTCAGGTGTTGTTGTTTCTTTTCCTTTATGTTGTAGTTTGTTTTCTAGGGATTTGATGTAATCTAATTGAAGGCTTGTTTTTTATTGTTATTTTATTTGTTTGATCCATTCTATTATAATCTAGATTCATTCATTGCATTTAATTCAATCTTTAGTTGATATTAGGGCTTGAACAACCTTGACGCTAGTTAACTGATTGCATTAGCAAGATTGTGTGTGGAATGACTTATTTGTAGCCCTACCCGGGTATAGGTTGGTTATTGTCTTTAAGATTGTCTTGTGCTTAATGTAGGCTATACGCTAGTAGCTAGTTTAGTTGATAGAAACACTAGGTTAATTTGAATGGCCGCAGTAATACCTTAAAAAACGAGAGACGTCACACCTTTCTTGATTAGCTCTGTGAATGAATGATTTGTATCTATGTGAATTGGTTCCTTCGTTATTTAGACTAGGCTATACGTCACTAGCTAATTTAGATGACGAAAGTACTAGGTTGAACTCGATGATGTACGAACCCTAGAGTGGAGTAGGGAGAACGATAGTTTAACGGTGAACATGTAGCTTGTTGTAGATTTTCGCAAGTGTATGAAATCGTGCAAGTAGTAAAGTGTAAAATTACGAATATCGAACCCAAGGGAATTACTATTATCAACTACCAATTAAACTATCCTATCACTATTTGATCAATCCAAATTGTATCAAGGAAAATCTAAACTAGATTAACAATTGAATTTAAAAAGAAAACTGAAAAGAGAACAATTAAAATTAACCTTTGGGTAAAAATAAGATGACTAGACCTAGGGCATAGACTTCACACCAACTCTTGTTCATATATAACGATCTCTTATGCTAACTTTCTCTCAAACAATTATCAAATTAACCCCTAATTACTAACCCGAATGATCTCTAATCAGATTTAAGCAATTGGAGATCATTACGCTCTATGGAGTTTACCAAAACCTCACAAGTCGTGATAAGCTATCTCTAGTGTTCGCTCAACCTATGGTTTTACTACCGTAGACCAACTAAGTCTCATCTCTCGATCTCAACCTAGTCCATTAGTACATTCAATTCTTGGGCCCTTAAGAATCAAAAGCATTAGGAATAATAGTAAAACATAGGAAGAATTCTCAATAAAAGTTAACAATCAAAGATCAATACATAATCAAGACATTGGGCTACATCTTAGCCCCAGAGAATAAAATTAGTTCATAATAAACATGAAAGAAACAATCATCTTTATTAAAACATTCATCATGAGTTCACAAAAAGACTTCTCTAAATTTGAATCAAAGCTCCAGAATTTCTGTTACTTCTCTTCTCTCCAGATTTTTCTCCCTTTCTTCTCACCCAAGAATCCCCTCCATAATGCTAAAAGACTTCTATTTATATCCCACAAGGGTTACGGTTTGTTTTTCCTTAATTCTATTTGATTTGGAA